ATACATCTTATAAGTTATAACACAGAGAATGTCCTTTTCTTTTCTTTTCTTTTCTTTTTTTTTTCAAAAGAATCTTCCTTGCAGGTTTCCTCTTAAAATCGGGGTCTTTTCTTTCCATGTGTTTCTTTCCTTACTGTGTTGTCTTCTTGCCCACTCAGACCCTGCAACAGAAACCCCCATGCCCACCGCTGCTTTCCGATCAGAGTTTGAATCAGGTGTGCCAAGGATTTTTGGGAATAGGGTTGGAATTCCAGGTTGGAAGTGGAATCTCCTGTGTTGGTTCTCAGTGCAAAAGAAGGGGACAGTCACGGCAGTAGAGGGAAAGGGCACTTCTTCTGAAGCATGAGCACAATCAATAAAGCAAACATGCAAAAATTCTAGGCTACCAGCCAGGCCACGCGGGTCCCCTTGTTTGACGGGGCCCCCCAGCTGTGCAAGGCCCAAAGAAGGTCCCAGCATTAAAAAAAGAAAAAGAAAAGCCAAAAAATCTGAATATAAATTGTGTTATGCAGAAAAATAAAGTGAACAACTTTTGCCTCAGCTTTGCATCGAAAATCTTTTCCAAATTTAAAATAAAAATTAAAATTAAAATTAAAATTAAAATTAAAATACAATTTTCTTTAATTTTAGTTTTTTAAGAAATAACGGCGGACGCAGCATGTTTTGAAATCCTAAACGCAAAAAAAGTTCACGCCGGCAAAGAAACCACGTGCCAACTCGAAATGAGCAATTTCGCTCCAAAAGTATCCGTTGGGCATTTTTCTTTTTTCTTTTGTTTTCCCCTCTGACACCACGCCCGACCCCTGTAAATAAATATGACACCCGGTTTGACGGCCATCGTTACTTCTGTCGCCTTTTCGAACTCGGCGCGGTTTTCTTTGCCGACGCACATGTTTTTTTCCCCCATTCGATACTCAAAGGTGACATGAACGTACTTAGCTCTTTTTTCTTTTTTTTTTTTGGCTCGGCTGGGTAAGTGGTCCCCGGCCACTCTGGTGGAAAATTTCAAAAATAGCGCGCAAGCGCGATGCCTTCCAGCACACCATGGAAGGGAGTGGGGGTGGGCATGAGATCCGCGTCATGCTTTGATCCAATAATGCTTACCTACCCACGAGTCCTAGGCTACCAGCCGGGCCGCCCGGTTCCCGGTGGCCAGCTCGTGCAAGGACCAGGGAAGGTCCCAGCAAAAAAAAAAAAAAAAAAAATCCAAAAAATCCGGAAAAAAACTATGTTATGCAGAAAAATAAACTGAACAACTTTTGCCTCAGGGTCACATCGAAATTCTGCACCAAATTTAGAAAACAAGATAAATTTTTAAAAATATATTTTTTTTTTGTTTTGTTTTTTAGGGGTAACTTGGGCGCAGTCACGAAAACAGTTTGTAATTGCACTTCACGCCATCCCGCGAATACAACACCCCTCCACACAACCCCACCGGACCGAAAACGTTGGTCATATACATTCAGCATTACCGGCCCTTTTGCCTCAAGTGCAATTACAAACTCAAACCCTGACTGCGCCGTAGTTTTCTCTTTTTTTTATTGTTTTTGGCCCGGCCGGGCAAGTGACCCCGGGCCACTCTGGTAGCCTAGCCCACGACACAATTTAAGATCAGAATCCAAGAAGGACGGCCTCGGCAGTACCTTTTTTTTGCTCTGTTTTCTGCAGTCAGTCCGCCATGTGTAGAAGAAGGCTTGAGCAGCCAATTGTCATCCTCGCCTGTACATTTCTTAGAGTGTTCCCAGCCAGCTCTGCTCTGGGGCAATGGCAGGCTAAAGAATGACGAATGACTTTTCAAATGCATTGGGAAAACGAGGGGAGATAACCAGCATTATGCAAATCTTGAGATGGGGAATTGGGGATGAAAGCAAGGCGATCAAACTGCTTCAGAAAAACAGACATACACCACAGCAGACAATCTTTACTCTCACACAGGACAGCTGTCAGAATCTTTACTCTAACACAGGAAAGCTCACAGAATCGGCTATATAACCCAAAGGTCAGGCAGCAACCATGCGCACCACACGGATGCACTGCCATGCAAAACTCGTTTCCTCGAAAGCATTCCAAAAAGCCATGACGCCGATTTCGGAAAGAAAGAATTTCAAAGAAATGTAAACTGACTTAATCACCCAGCTTCGGGCGCCACTCACCGTAACTTCCAAAATACGTCTACCCTCACTGAAAACCAGGACCTCAGTCATCCCATGCATGCATAGTATGCATACCCAAGCACAGAGTCTGACGGCCAGTCTTCTCACTCGCTGTCTTGGACTGATCTGTTGCGCCGCCCTTGTCATTGCAAGCTCGAAGGGCATGTCAGCGAACCTGCAGTCCTTCTCAGTGCAATCGCCACCTCGTCACACCTTTAAGAGCTGCACGTCGGGACTATTCGAATCGAATGTCTATATTCTTGCCGGGCTATTTGGCAGACTACATACCCGCATCATGTAATAAATGTCATTTTGTTAGAATTAACAAGATATTTTACTTGCATGAAATTAACCCTTAAGTTTTTTGTACATTTTTTTGTGGTTTTGCACTTCCATACTGCACATCAGCTGCAGTGTTATGTTATATTAGGGTTATCCTGTCCCAGACCGTGGAACAAATGCCATATTCAATTTCGGAATTACCTCCTCCGTCCCTAATCGTCAAGGTCACATACAAGGAAAAGGCAAACATGGGACCGACCAAATGGGTAGGTTTGTTAACCCCCCCCCCCCTTTCTTACAACTTAAGACCCTAATAGAGCATTGCTAATTTGCAGTACGATCATTGTGCAACCCCCCCCCCCCCCCCCCCCACTTAAAGAAAACACTCAAAATTCAGTGCTGAATTTCGTGCGATAATGCAATAAAAATATTAAATATTTTGTTCATTTTTTTTAACCAAATGGCAGCTGTATTTTTGAAAGTGGAGAGAGCCAGATGATTTCAAGGGCTTAGGGTTTTTAGTGTGTCAATGCAGGATTGAGCCAACACTTCGCTCTTATCATTGATACACTAGAAAGGCTTCCCTTGAACGCTAAAAATGCACTGCCAGGAGGATTGAGCCAACACTTCACTCTTATCATTGATACACTAGAAATGCTTCCCTTGAACGCTAAAAATGCAGGATTGAGCCAACACTTAGCTAGGGAGGGAGGGGAAAAGGAGGTACTGGTTGCAGAGGCTGCTCTTATCACCTCCTCAAGGGTGCCCCCACCTTGGGCCTTTGGCGGAGGGGGGGAGGAGAGAAAGGGTGGTCGTTGTTTGGAGAGAACAAGGAAAGGCGGAAGAATGGTGATTGGACAAAACTGCATGCTCGGCTTAGCATGTGGGGATCCGCAACTTCGCCCCCAGCACCAAAACAATGGCCGGAGATCCATCCTTCTCATCCAGTTGGGGGCTGAAAGGAAGCAAGCCAAGTGAGCAAGGGAGGGTAAAGCGCCAACCAAAACAATTTGAAACGGTACCCTGGCGCTTCGGCAAAAATTGGCGCGCAGGGGGATTCCAGGCTCGGCAACGATAGTTGGGCCAAGTACCAGTGGTTTAATGAGCCCCGTCGGGCGGGATACCCACCTCCATGCGACCGGTAGTCCCCAAAAAGCGGGCGCGGAAAAAAATAAAAAATAAAAATAAAAATAAAAATGAAAATCTGAAGTAACAAACGAAAAAGAAACAGGTGCTGCAGGGGCGGGGGGAAGGGGGGGACGAACGAGAGAGAGAGAGAGAGAGAGAGAGAGAGAGAGAGAGAGAGAGAGAGAGAGAGAGAGAGAGAGAGAGAGAGAGAGAGAGAGAGGAGAGAGAGAGAGAGAGAGAGAGAGAGAGAGAGAGAGAGAGAGAGAGAGGAGAGAGAGAGAGAGAGAGAGGGCTGAGGTGGGTTGACCAAACCAATGACGGAGAGCCTGACGTAATGGGTGAGCCGGTCGTGACGGAGCCGCAGGAGGCTCTGAAGACGAGAACCTCGAGCGGTCGACGAGAAGCGACGAGACGACGCTTCCCTGAGTATGAGCGAAGGGAAACCCTGGCGGATAGGCACATGGACGACTGGAGAGAGAGTTCGAGTGATTCCTATTGGAGGGACAGAGATAGAGACAGAGCGCCACCCAGGCGAGTCTTCGACCCCCAGACAGGGGAGTCGCATCCGCTCCCTTACGAGAGCAAGGATCCGTATATTATTACGCACAAGGTCTCGAAGCCTCCTACTTTCAGAGGCTACGGCATCACAGAATATCTGGAGAAGTGGGAGCTTCATGCTAGCCGGAGTCAGTGGTCGGAGGAAGAGATTATAGAGAACTTCCTATTTAATGTGGACCCGAGCCTCGACAAGGAAGTAAAGGAAGCCCGACCAAAGGATGGAAAATGGACTACGTATAAAAAGAGTCTCGTTGAGCTTTACAAATTGGAGGATAACAAGTACTCCATCAAGGATCTTGAGACGATGACTCAAGATCAAGATGAGAGCGTACGGGCATTTGGAATGCGTTTCCAGAAGATCTCCGACGTGCTGATGAAGAAGGGGAAGATCTCAGAGGTCGAGCGTTGTACTATCTTCATTGGACACCTGTCCAAAGGTAGACAAAAGAGTATACTTAGAGATCTTCCGCGCGACAAGCTTGACTTCCCAGAAGTCATAAAGCTCGCGACAAAGGTAGAGGCAGACGACTACAAGGACTTGGTGTGGAGAGGGATGAGGAGGCGTGACTTCTCTCTCTACAAGGAGTATGCCACTGATAAATGTCCTAATTTCAATGACTATCCCTGGTCAGAGAAGAATGAAGCCGTGACTGAGGAAGTGAAGGAGATAAGGGACATGGTAAAGTGATTGACAAGACAGGTTACAGAGATTGTGACCACCACAGGAGCCACGACATACCGGGACAAGCCCGGAGGACCCTATTCACTTCGCTGGGACCGAAAGAAGACTGATTCCTGGAGAAGTGTCGAGGATAGAAATCATCGAACGCTGACTGATTATCGTGCGAGGGAAAGGGAGAGAGACGATGAGCCATGGCGATGTAGGGACGATGAGATAGACCGGGACCGCAGGACTCACGAGACGTATGGGCAAGCTAGGAGAATGGATGACTACTTGCGTAGCCCTCGCTATGAGCCTAATGGGGGTAGAGACGACTCTCGAGGTAGGTGGGAGTCGGATCAGGGCCGACGAGATGGATACAGGGACAACAGATATGAGAGGCGGACCGAGATGGATATAGGGACGACAAATATGAGAGGTCGGATCGAGACGGATACAGGGGTGGCAGATATGAGAGAGGAGATCAACGCGATGAGCCGCGCGGGTGATACGACCGAGGAGACCGACATGATGATTCACGCGGGCGATACGACCGAGGAGACCGACGTGATGATTCACGCGGGCGATACGACCGAGGAGACCGACGTGATGATTCACGAGGGTGATACGAACATGGAGACCGCCGCAATGACTCGCGCGGTAGGAATGAGAGAGGGGGATATGGCGCGTCGTGTGATCCGTATCCGAAGTCCCCTGACCCCAGAGCAGCGAGAGGTACGACCTCCAGAGGCGCAGACGACAGGCCACCCACTCCCAGGAACTCTTGCGTCTACTGTAGAGGGGATGATCATATCAAGAGAGATTGTCCGGACCTCAAATGGGCAATAGATGAGAGACTTGTCGTGCTTGACGACCGCAAGTACGTTAAGTGGGCAGATGATCTGGGAGATGTATCGATGTTCCCTTCGATGAAGAAGAATGTCGAAGCAAGGAGAGTAAAGTCGAGTAAAGGAAAGGACCCCAGTCAGGAGCCAGAGCATCAAGATAACTTTTGAGGGGGATATGGCGACCACACCCATAAGGGTGGCGGCCACCAAGTCGGCGAGAGGGTCTACATCGAAGAAGACTGACACGGATTACGTGATGGCGGAGAAGGACGGACAACGGATCGATGGGGAGCAGGTTATTCTTTTGCCGCGGAAGCGGGGAGTGAAGAAGTTCTTGATGAAGAGTTCGCTGGATGAGATTGACACGGTTGAGCCACTAAGACGGGCCCTTCGGCATCCCATGCAGTGCTCTATTCTGGAATATCTGGCGGCATCGAAGCCAGCTCGTGACGAGTTACAGATGATCACGCGGAAAACTCGCATACCCCTATCAGAGGAGGCTTAGGGAGCCCCTAAGGCGGATGCTCCTACTGTAGCAGTAACGGGGGTGACTGCTAGAGTGGATCGCATGGCGACAGTCCTTCTTGATGGGATGGAAGGTGTGCCTTCAGACAAGTTTTACATACTCGGAAGTGGGGCCGTGGAGGCGATCATAAACGATGAAGCGGTACTAGATGCTCTGATCGATAACGGCATTGAGACTGTCATTATAGACGAGGATCTGGCAGTGCAGGTTGGACTGGGCCTCGATAGGTCGTACCTATTTAAGATAGAGACGATTGATGGCAGAAAGCAACAGATCACCGGGGTTGGTCACAAGGCAGCCATAGAGGTTCAAGAGGTACGAGTGACCCTGCCTGTCTTTGAAGTCAAGAACTGCAGCTCCGATCTGCTCTTGGGACGAACGTGGTTGAGCCACGTGCATGCGGTGACGATAGAGCGACCGGATGGGAGCCAGACTTTGTCCATTAAGAAGCTAGATGGGACGCGGGTTATGATTGAGACGGTGGAGCCTCGAGACTCCGGTCGCGCGGTGCGATTTTGCGAGAAGAAGTATGGACCWCTGCTCACAGAGGAAGAAGGTCGGATYGTRGAAGTGGAAGATTTAGGGAGTCGGCTGATAGTGGACGGCAACTCGTATCCAAAGGAGGCAGATGAGGAATTTGGCGGTGTGGTATCTGTGTCTTTTTTAAGGGCACGGTCCCCTATGGGGGGCTACCCAAGCGACACAAGCGAGTAGCTAAAAAAGTTAAGCCAGCGGCGGTGGGCCACGAGCGATCTGCACTGGAAGGGAGATCGGAAGAAGAGATCGCAAAGGAAATCAAAGAGAGGAAGAAAAAGAAGCCGCAATGCCTAACGGAAGAGAGGATAGCAGGGATGGACATCGGAGATGAAAATCTGACCCCGCAGGAGCGGGAACGTGTGATAGAAATCCTAAAGACATGCGATAAGGATATAGCTTTCAGCGATGCGGAGCGCGGTAGGGTTGACCCTCGATACGCTAGGCCAGCAAGGATTTACACGATTCCACATGTTCCTTGGAATGACGCAGGATGGAAATACGCCCAGAAGGAGAAGGAAGAGGTTATCGCTTTCCTAAAAGAAAAGATGGCTTCTCATGTTGCGGAGCCGTCTGACAGCGCTTATGCAAATCGATGGTTCTTCCTACAAAAGCCGAATGGCAAGATCCGGTGGATCCAGGACCTTCAGAAGGTCAACGGGGTGACGATTCGAGACGTGGGCTCTATGCCACACGCCGACTTACTGGCTGAAGGCGCTGCGGGCAGGTCGATTTATTCGGTCTGTGATCTGTTCTCAGGGTATGATGAGGTCCCGCTTGATCCTAGGGACAGGCACCTCACGGCTATGCACATGCCATTGGGACTGATACAGATGATGGTCGTCCCTATGGGATGGACTAATGGGGTAGCCGTTTTTCAGAGAGCCCTGGTAGCGGTCCTCAAGGACTTCATCCCTCATAAGGTTGAAGTTTTTCTGGATGATTTTCCTATTAAAGGGTCAGTAAAGGAGGATGAGACAGAGGTCGTACCAGGAATTAGAAGATTCGTCGAGCAGCACCTAACAGATATTTTCGCGGTACTTGAGCAGCTGGACGATGCGAATTTAACGGTCAGCGGAACAAAGAGACGGTTACGAGTTTGTGTCTGTCAGGGTGACACACAAATGCAGCGCAACCGTTGCATGCATTGTTGTAAGCTATCGTCAAATGTTAACAGTATGTGCAACACATATATGGAGACACAAGATAACACGAAGGGACGATGAACATTTGATGATGTGAGCGTACAAGTAGTACATGAAACAGTACTATATTGACGCACGGAATACAATGTTCAAATTCGTAGCTCGAAGAATATCTATCACAGTCAGGATATCATCAGTCATCACAAAAAAGCAAAACACGTCAGCGGTTACCCGGGAATACAAGAAAACAAAAGTAACTATCGACTTCAACATCATGGACAATGTACTTCGTCGAGCAAACGGGCAACGCAACAGCCTCATTCACTTACGACGTTGTTGCACCCATTAACAAAAAATTGGTAATGAGTCAGTGCTTACAAGGTGGTGAAATTTTCTGGCCGTGAAGTTTTTCGTGCATTGAAGTTGGAGTAGGTGTTTTTATTTTTGCCATTGACTGATTTAGTTTTTTTTTCCTTGTTCACAAGACAGATTTCCTTTAGGTAGCTACATGTCAGTGCTCGCAATCTGTGTGTATGTTGCAAACTGCATCTGACCCAAATCTGGTCTGCAAAAAAATCTACAATTGTACCCAGCCCCAACTGCAAACAAATTTTATGGCCAGCTGTCCAAACTGGATAGCTGGTTTTTGCAGATTTTCCAAACTGCTACTGACTCGGCCTGAAACCTGAAAAATTGCCCAACTGCAGCCAGCCGGACGAGGACCCAATTTAGTGTCGTAGGTGTTCCGAAAATGAACGCACAGACCCTTCATGCGGTTCAGATACATTGACACTGTTTTGTTGAAGTTCTTTGTGTTCCAAACTTTTTTTTTTTTTTTTTTTTCCGGTAGCAAAACACAAAGCCCCTTTTATTCTGGGGGCCATCACTCCGGTTGCTTATCGCCGGCAAGAATGAGTTCAAGCACAGAAAAGATGTAGAAAAAGGGTCAGCTAGCCCTTCGGTACTACTCTCCTGTCAAGGGGGGAGCTGCTACGGACCATCCCACCCCTCAAACCATGGCCTCCCTGGGGTTACTTCTGCTGGCCAAGAGACTTCCTAGCAGAACCACGTCTTGCAGCAGAAAGGTCTCAGGGGGCGGGGTGGGCGGGGCAGGGGGGGGGAGGCTCCTAGGAGTCTCTCAGATTGCTTGTCTCCTGTCCTCTTCCTGGTTGCATCTTCTAATAAGAGGTCCTTATTACTATGAATATATCCCTCTTGTTGTACCCGTTCTTACCCTATGGGGCCCTTCTGCTTTCCTTTCCTCCCCTCATGCATGTTTTTCATACAGCATTTCATGTTTGTCATTCA